TGACCTGATAATATACGCGACAAGTGTGATACTTTGCGGCGGACTCAGTGGGAGGTAGACGACTTGGGCTGACAAACGACGAGGATTTGGCTATCTTTGATAAGAGTAGTTTGTAGCGAATGGTGGTCATGCTTTCTGTCCATAAAACAGTTTCAAAGCATTCAGTCCAAGTGAAGTGACTTCATCTTGCTGTTTTCCTGGTTGGCATAGTTCTGAAGCTATGTTCTGCAGTTCAGGATTTCTAAGGAATTTATTTAGAGCACTAGGTTTTGAAAGTCCTGCTAGTCGTGACGTAGAGTCACACCCGGTAAATGCATGGACAAATAATAGAGTTGAGCATAGTTCTTTACCGATATTTACTGTGATTGCTTTGATGTTATATAGCCGTTGGTTTGTTTGTTTCTTATCTATCAGAATAGCAATTCATAATTCGGGTCGTAATAGTGCAGCATTAATATAAGTAAGTCCGTGTCTTCACCTAGAAGCGTAGTTGACCTCAGGCGTGAGCTATTCACTGCCGCTTTTGCAATGTCTACATCAGCATCATCACTTGACTGTGATGTACGGCAAAGTCTATCAGTCAGTTCTTCCATGATCATTTTTATCATATTGTCCTTATTCGATTCATTGGACAGTACGGATTGTTTCTTGCCTTTAAATAGCGATCGCTCCATGCTGATAATTGATGTGGAGCAGATTGAATTACGGCGCAGATGAGTGGAATCTTTGATGTTAGGTCCGTTCCCATAGCCATCTAAGACTACTGTTGGTCTTAAGTATTTCGCTGTAACAAACTTTGCATATGACGAAGCTATATCCAAATACTTAGAGCCCGACGTCCATGGCACTCTTTGAAGCAGCGAACCGCCATCAATGACATAGTGATCCGTTTTGTGGGTAATATATTGTGTTTCTTTTTCACTCTCCGGTATTCCTACATTAGTTTCTTTCTCGGGTTCCGTCTCAAACTTGGCTTCTATAGATTCAACCGTTTTCAGTATAGCGTGAGCAAGCGGCGGTTTATCAGCTTTTAGTGGTATTGATTTTGTCTGAAACAATGCGGGCGGAAATGGAGCCAGTTCATATTCTAACACTTCGTGCAGTGAGATATCTCCCGTCTGGGCAGCAGCGACCATTCTTTGAAACAGGAGAGCGGAGTCAATAGTCCCTTCGTTTGGTAGTTTTACAGAGTTAGTCGCCGTAGTCATATTGGTACATCGATGCTTCCTGGTAAACTTGTAGGTTGACACGTCTTGACCTTTCAACTTTTTCAATATATCCAGTCCGATCTCTTTGTACTGACCAACTGTGACACAAGCAGGAGCTTCTAATCCTGTCACTATATTACGTAGGCTAGCGATATCAGACTCGAACGGGTTTGGCTCAGCAACTGTATCCCATGTATAAAGTCAAGTCTCGATACTCTATTAGGGCCCTATTATGATGATAAATCGCGGAATTAAGAGTCATGACGTCATTCCCAAATGACGTCATGGCGTCATAGCGATATAAATAATGATTGCATTGGATTCAGCACCCCTGAAAACCCATAGTTTGACACTAAGTTTGATACTTTATGACAAATATTAAGGATTTTATGACAATTCTTTCATTTTTACCTCATTTTGACATGACCTTGAACTTTGACCCCTGTAGAACACTTATCTGAGGGCCGATTTTGTCTGATTTTCATATTTGTGACTTACAAGTCCCATAGAGTCGAAAAATGGCAAAAAACAATTTCTTGCAATTTATTCTAGGTCAAATGTTATTTTTACTCCACTATAGAGGAATTTCTATAACTAGTAATTTGGGTAAACTTTTTAATGCGGTGCTAAATAACAGATTGAATAAATTTCTGTGTACTAACAACACCATACATGAGTGCCAAATTGGCTTTTCTAAAAATCATCGAACTTCAGATCATGTGTTCATTTTGAAAACTTTGACAAATACTGTCAATCAAAGGCGGGAAAACTGTTTGCGTGTTTTATTGACACGGTAATTCATGTTGGACTTTATAAAAAACTTCTTGAATTTGGAGTTGGTCCAATTTTTTACTTTTTGATTAAAAATATGTATCAGAAAAGTAAGTCGGCTATCAAAATCCAGGACAAGCTCACAGATTCTTTCTCATTGGACCTCGGAGTTAAGCCCTAACCTTTTTAAAAAATTTATTAATGATTTGCCAGATTACTTCTCCAATTGCCCTGATCCAGTAACTCTTGGACCCAGCATTACCCATTGCTTACTTTATGCTGATGATGTGGTGATCTTATCTACGAGTAAAAGTGGATTACAATCAAAACTTGATAAATTAGATGACTTTTGCAAAGACTGGTGTTTTTCAGTAAATATTGATAAATCTAAAATTCTTATTTTTTTTACAAAGCTGGTCGATTACTTAAACAAGACTTTGTATTTCAAGATATCACACTTAAAAATTTCTCATCTTACCGATATCTTGGTATAATATTTCTGGATCAGGTTCCTTTTCACTAACCAAGTATAGCTTATACCAAAAAGGCTTAAAAACATATTTTAAATTGTGTAAAGATGTAGTCTTTAAATCATCAGATTAAAACAAGTTTGCATATTTGATCATACCATTAAACCCATAATATTGTATGGCAGTGAAATATGGGGGGGGGGGGGGGCTTTTAATACACTTAGTCCTAAGTTCAAAGAAGGTTTCTCTTTAGATAAGATATATAATGCTATAGAACCTGATAAGCTTCATGTTAAATTTTGTAAATTTCTTTTAGGGGAACACAAAAAGAGTTCAAATTTTGCAGTTCTGGCTGAATTAGGTCGATCCCCAATGTATTTAGAAATTGTTAAGTCTCTCCTGTGTTTTTGTCATCACCTTGAGAGCTCGTCTCCAGATTCATTATTAGCTCATGCTCTCGCAGCTAGCAAAGAACTTTCCAAAGTTGGACAGTCATGGTTTAGCGAGAGAGAGAGAAATGGGGTTTAACGTCCACTCGACACAAACTAGGTCATTTCGGGACTAACATAATATGGTTTTAATTTTATTTCAATAATTCATTGCGCGTAGGGGTCTTTAGCAGTGGGAGGAAACCGGAGGGCACGGTGAAAACCCACGAGGGTGGACATCATGGTTTAGCACTGTCACTGAACTATGTCAACTCTTGAACATGCCCTTAATAAACCCTTCATGTTATAAATTTTCGACACTTAAGACCACTTTGAAAAAGTTGCTGGTCAAATGTCATAAAGAAACTTGGCTCAAGCAAAGGGAATCATTGCATACTGGGGAAACTAGATTTATATGTCCAACTTAAAACTAACTTTGGATATGAAAATTATCTATCCTTGAGGAAATATGGATTCCGAGGAATATCACCAAGCTCAAAATATCCTCACATAGGCTCAAAATAGAAACGGGTAGGTATATAGGATTAAATCGTGAATCATGCCTCTGTGAAAAATTCCTGTCAGGGAAAGTTGAGGACGAATTGCATTTTTTTAATTGATTGTGCACATCTGTCAACAGACAGGAAATGTTTATTTGAGGTTATCGAAAAACACAATACAAATTTTATCAACTTGAGTAGTCTGAACAAATATATTTGGTTACTAACTAGTGAACTTGCCATAAGGTTATTTAATATTTTCGCAACCTTGGTTAAGCACCAAACAGGGAATAATGTGTGGGCTTACATAGTTTATGCTTAATATTGATCTGTAACATCAAGAGTTAAGTGGATTTATCTCCCTTTCATGATTAATAATAATGTTCTCATGAGCCGTTTTTTATCAGCATGAAGCCTTAGTGCATAAGGTACTTATATGTATATCTCCCCTGTTGGGAGCCATGTATATGGTTATATATTATTACTTGACTGTCATTTGGGTTTTCTTTGTTTGATCTGTACGTACCATGTCCCCTGATTGGAAATAAAGCTATTATTATTAGTAGTAAACAAAGGGATATAACTCCATCAGTCTTCTTGGACACCCGATCTCATTTCATCTCTTATGGTTTATTCTATAAGCGAAAGAATACAACTTTCCGTTACCAGCACAAAAAAAATCCCTTTCCTGTATGAAAGTGGATAGGGAAATTTGATAGGCTCGATTTCTAACCACATCTTGCATAATTATACTCTTAATCTAGTCTAATGCACTAACCATCCAATTCAACAGTTTCATATCTCACAGTTACGCTGCCTCCCCCCCCCCCACGACATTATAGAACTATATTTAGTTCTATGACGACATGCAATAGAATTAGAATGAACAAGAACGGGAAAAGAACCATCAGTTTAACCCAACCCTTTTGATTTCTACCCACATCTTACAATATGCTTTTAATCTAGTCTAATCTGCTTACCATCCAATTTACCAAGAATTGGAATTGGAATTACCAGACTAAACAATGTCCCTTTATTTACCGCATGTAACGGAATTAGAATGCACTAGAATTTTGGGAAAAGCAAGTCATCACAGTTAAACCCTGACTGCTCTCTAGCATTAACCTTTGATTGACAGTTCATAAACCCACCCCAAATACTGCTTTTAAAAGAAAACAGATCACTTCCCCAATGATTACATATCTAAACATTGAATATTGTCAATGATTATACAAAGAACACAATAATTTGTATACATTTTTAATGCAGGACTTTGGTTAACATCAAAATCAACAAGTTGCAAAACATATATAAATTTCTGTTTTCTCTTTTTAGTTCTTCACAGATCTTAATACTCTTCACCTTCCTCTTCACCCTCTCCTTCGACAGAGTCCACACCAACTTCTTCATAATCTTTCTCAAGAGCAGCCAAATCTTCTCTAGCTTCTGAGAACTCACCCTCTTCCATACCTTCACCAACATACCAGTGAACAAAAGCTCTCTTGGCGTACATCAGATCAAATTTATGATCCAGACGAGCCCAGGCCTCGGCAATAGCAGTGGTGTTACTCAACATACAAACAGCTCTCTGTACCTTGGCTAAATCACCTCCTGGTACAACAGTTGGTGGTTGGTAGTTGATACCGACTTTGAAACCAGTTGGACACCAGTCTACAAACTGGATGGTTCTCTTGGTCTTGATGGTAGCGATTGCAGCATTGACATCCTTTGGTACAACATCTCCTCGGTACAACATACAACAGGCCATGTACTTTCCGTGACGAGGATCACATTTGACCATCTGGTTGGCTGGCTCAAAACAGGCATTTGTGATTTCAGCTACTGAGAGTTGTTCATGGTAGGCTTTCTCGGCTGAGATGACTGGAGCATAGGTAGCAAGGGGGAAATGGATACGTGGGTAGGGTACCAAGTTAGTCTGGAACTCAGTTAAGTCAACATTGAGGGCGCCATCAAATCGGAGAGAGGCAGTGATGGAGCTGACAATCTGGCCAATAAGTCGGTTCAAGTTGGTGTAAGTAGGACGTTCAATATCCAGGTTACGACGACAGATGTCATAGATAGCCTCATTATCAACCATGAAAGCACAGTCGGAATGTTCCAGGGTGGTGTGGGTGGTGAGGATAGAGTTGTAGGGTTCAACCACGGCAGTGGAAATCTGGGGAGCTGGATAGACAGCAAATTCCAATTTGGATTTTTTCCCGTAATCAACGCTCAATCTTTCCATAAGAAGGGAGGTAAATCCAGAACCAGTTCCTCCACCAAAACTGTGAAAGATCAGAAATCCCTGAAGACCAGTACACTGGTCAGCCAATTTCCTGATTCGGTCAAGAACCAAGTCAACAATTTCTTTACCGATGGTGTAATGACCTCTGGCGTAGTTATTGGCGGCATCTTCTTTACCGGTGATGAGCTGTTCAGGGTGGAAGAGTTGACGGTATGTACCAGTTCGTACTTCATCTGAAATATATTAAAAAGAAGACTTAGTACAAAAAAGGACATGGTTAACGCCACCTACAATAGTTTCTAACAACCATACTGCAAGATATTGGTCCAATTTCAAACATTTTCAGCAGACAATATTGGAAAACATGGGGCGGTGTTAACAAATTTTGAGCATGCTCATCTCACATTAGGTTTTCTACTGCCCTGGGGCTAGAATCTGATGTCATGACAAACCAGCCAAAAAAAACAACACAACATATTGACATCCCATACACAAAATCTTATACAAAGGCCACCATTTAGTGTTAGACATTTTTATTGTAAAACCGGTGAACTTGATGGGCATACTACTAATAATTACATTAATTATGCAATGTGCAACTACGTCTTTTGCTCAGAAATACAGTCAAATAGTGATTAAAAATGGTGAACATGTATAAATTGTATCTATATTTTGGACTTAATGTGTAAATTTGCAAATTGTATTTATATAAGTTATAACTGGTAGCTTGAACTGAAAGTAATATTATTATTAGAAATGTGAACTCACCAATTACAGTTGGTTCTAAATCAACAAAGACAGCTCTTGGCACGTGTTTACCAGCACCAGTCTCACTGAAGAAGGTATTGAAGGAATCATCTCCACCTCCAATGGTTTTATCTGATGGCATCTGACCATCGGGTTGGATACCATGTTCTAAACAGTACAATTCCCAACAGGCATTTCCCATCTGCACACCAGCCTGGCCGACATGGATAGAGATACATTCACGCTGAAAAATACAATAAAAATTAACATAATAAAGAAGAAACCAACTACTCGACTGTTCAAACAAGCCGTCTTTAGTCCACTACAGCAGGCATACCCGTTTACACTTGACACTGTCACCTGTGCCTTTCTTTATAATAATTTACATTACAGTGATGGTCAGTGATGATACTGATATGCCAAGGCTAGTCATTATTAAAAGATCGGGCTACTTTCGAAAGATGAAAGGGGCTAGCCGTGGTTAGCTCTGGTTATAATTTTCAAATTCTCAAAATGACGTAAAACTTCATTTAAAACACCGGCCTCGTATAACAATACAATGGCTGTCTGTACGGTGATTGTTAAGGAACAAAACGGGGGCACAATAACGATCATTCACACCTGTGGCGATATTGTTAGACAAGATTGTGTCCAGAATCCACTATCCAGGATGCCTTACCAACCAAAATATTTCCATCGGGGTTCGGTTCTACAGCATTAAGAAATTTGTGTGAAAAAAAAAAGCGGCAACCTCATTATCATCAGGATTGCGCCGGTCACCTTGATTTTGTGTTGTGAATGTCTTCAATGTGATTGATTTATTCAGATAAAATCTGAATTCATTTGCTTTATTTACGCACAACAATCACCAGAAATCTAAAATATTTCTCTAAATGAAAAAATAACATTTTACTTACCATTTTGAAGTATTTGGTTGACTAAACACCGACTAAATTAAGAAAAAATATTTGGCAAACAAAAATCTCACTTGAGCTGTGTGATGTAGCTTCTGTGAGAGATGTGGCTTGTAATGAGTGAGCGCGCAACCAGCTTTTATATACCCGTCGCCATGTTGCCATAGACGCCTTAATCGATTGGATGATTTGTAATCACGTGTGTTTGGTAGTAACGGTTTCAGAGCGTTGTTGCCATGTGCGTCACGCGTTGTCAAACTATGTTGATGATTGTATGTACGGTCGATAGGTGGTTACCATAGCTAGTGTTATTTCTTTACAATTTTGGTGTCATTTAGTGACAAGGACTTGATATTGATATAGTCAGACATATTTTAGGCTTGTCTTGCCGGCAAAACAGAAACATGTCGTGGCAAATGATGATTTCCAAAAATAACGACACTATACAAAGACCTTAATAAAAATACTTTATTCGCAGGCCTATTTTAGTTATTAGTATTTAACCTGTTTAAATAAAATAATGTTAGGACTAATAATTGCGAGTCTCTTTTATTAATTCTCAAATCTGAGCATTATTTAAAAAAATACGATATGATTCTACTGAATAGCCTACAACATTCTAAGCCTACGTAAGTTCACAAATCGACAAGAATGAAGAGAAAATAAAATTACGAAAATTAAGTCATTCTTGAGTCTTGTTTTCCTAAATTCTGTTACCCTTTGCCTTTCAAATAATGTTAGAAAATATTGGAACAGTGACAACTCAAGGTAAATAACGTTGTATGTGTTACAAGTAAAGTGGCATACTTTTAGATCATAGGGCCTACTACAGCGAGATAGTTTTCCCGACCCTTCCTGACAATACCCTGCACCTGTATTATTCTATTAACTTTAAGGCTATTTTAAAGCCATGAAATTCTTCTATGTTCGCCAAAAGGCATAATTTTCTCGCCACATACAAATTTATAATAATTCAGCACTATTTTCAAGTCGATCCAAAAACATTTAAACAAAATTCAAATTGCGTATAGGCCTACTATTATTATTAACGAGGCTCATGCTTGCAATGGCGGACAAATTAACGTAGGACTATTTTGACATAATTTGTTGTTCTTTTATCGCTAAATTCAACTTGAAAATAATTTTGAATTATTATAAATTTATGTCATCTGTGGGGAGAAATTGCCCTTTTTAGTTATCAAAGAAGAATTAGGCCTACGATGAAAATAGAAGGTAAGGAACTACGAAATAGCCTTAAATTTTAAATACTAAAACTTAAGTAAAAAAATTATAGAACAAATGAGACGGCAGTTATTTTAATCATCTAAGTCTTGTTTACCTAACGAGCACCCTGCAACTGAGATATACCCTATTTCATAAGCCTCTCTAGTCTATGATTCAGTTCCACCCGCAGTGCCGGACTGGTGAGTCGAAGGCCTGTGTCCTGTCCTCTCCTTCCTTCCTTCCTTCTTTTCTTTCCTCCCCTTCTTTCTCTTTTCTTTTTTCCTTTTTTTCCTCTTTTTTCTTATAGGCTTAGGCAGGTGGACAGGTGGGCCCAGTCCGACACTGTCCACCCGGTTGAACAGGGGATATATTATAATATAATAATATATATTGAGGTTGTTCGATTGAGTAGGGTAGAATAATAATACCATAGCATTATGTGCATTAGTAGCCAATAAGATTTCATGCCTACTTAATTAAATTGATTTTAATTCCCCGCTGCAAACAATATTGCTTTTTATTAAACATGCATTATGCAAGAGCAAAATCTGCTTATTACAAGTCTTTCTTTAGGCCTGAAATGTTATCTAAATTATCAATTAGACATTAATTAACTTATCCAAACCATAATAAACTCTAGATGTCAAGGCTAGCCTTCGATGTTGGCTGGATTAGATTCCTATATATGCCGCTAACGGCAATTAAATCAATAAAAGTGGATAATCGAGACTAAGCTGTTTATATTAATGATTTTAGTAATGATGACCGAGACTATGCCAAAATTAATCCCGCTTCTTTCTCGGCCCATATCAATTTGACTGAAATTTTCAGCAAATTACCTTTACACTATCTAGTTTTTAACTATTATAGCGAGAACTGCCATCTCGTTATCTTATCTCCCATAATGTATCAGCGTTACGAACGGTGGTAGGCCTAGCGCCGGCCTATTTCGACGCAAACAGGCTTTTGGAAATACAGCTGTTTTGATGTTTTGTTGATTGATAAGGAGTCGGGGGTGGGGTGGGGTTTAAACTGATCTTTTACTAAAAACCGTTCACAATGTTAATCAAAATACACGTTAACGAATCCTGTTTCGTAACGTAGATCCGGTGGAACTTTAGGGCTGCACTAGGCCTACTTCAATTTTCGGAAACTGGGACCCTAATGGTCAATATTCTGTTGTGAACTATAACTCAAGACGAAGCTCTTGTTTATTTGCTGTATTTTATTTGACACAGAATTTACAAAAATTAATGTATTAAAACAGGACTTGCTTTATTACTATAGGCCTAGGCGAAGGGTTTTAGTTAAACATACATTGTTCCTGTTTCCTCACACCAAAGGCTTAGCCAGATGAGCCCATTTACTTATCACACGACGGTATTATAGAACTTATAAAAGTATGTATTTCTTCTACCTATTTTAAATGGAGTGACAACTTCTATGAGCAGACCCAGACCCACGGCTTACCCATGGGTAACCCCCTGTCACCCTTGGTCTCTGAAGTATTCATGACGTCCCTCGAACAAGAATCGTTAAAGACATCAGTCATTAAACCTATTGTCTGGTATCGCAAGGTGGGTGACACCTTTGTCGTGCTCCAACATCTAAACAGCCAGACACACAGAATTAACTTCATCATGGAAGCTGAAGAAGGAACAATTCAATTTGTGGACGGATTAATTACCAAAAATGGAGACAACTTTAAAACGTAAACCTACTCATACAGACCAATATATCTATTTCAAGTCAAATCACCCATTAAACATTAAGAAGTCCATTGTTTTAACCCTCGCCAAGCGCGCCACTACTATCTCTCAAGAAGATTTATTATCTACAGAATTAACTCATTTACGGAAACTCCTCGACGAATTTAATAGTTACCCTACACATTTTGTTAACCAAGCCATCGGAAAAGTTACCAACGACAAAGCAAAAAATACCAAACCTGCTAAACCGGCTACCACTGGTATAAGGGTATCCACCCCCTTTAAATGACTCTAGATGACATCAAATTAGAAGAATACTTCAACAAGCAGGAATCGAGGTCCTAGTGGCAAAACAATCCAAAACATCCTGGCAGCAAATGGTAAAAAAGAACGGATCAACCCACAAAGTATATAGGGGAGACCAAACGAACTTTGGATAAAAGAATCAAAGAACACCAATCCTTGGCAGCATCAGCACTCAGCAGTGACAGAACATCTTAGTAACAATAGACGACATCGTGTAAATTGGCACTCAACGTGTACGGATGCTAGCCGTGAACCAACACCAGAAAACCCCCCAGAAAAATCCTTGGAGCTATTCACATCAGAGCTCAATCGGGATATTGGATTGGGTTCTATAATATTGGTATGTGTTTATTACCTGTCAGTTGCTAAATGCCGCTTATGAAGTTGTCTTCATTTGGAACATCTTTATCGCCCCTGTTGTAGTTTGTATCTTTTTCATTATTTCATCATTAGTATATGTGTTTAGTTTTGTCTTACGTCAAAACAGTTCAGGGTCATAAGCTCGCCTCCACATTATCCCCTGATACACACAGAAAAAAAACTTGTGTTGAAACAACACAAAACTTGTGTTAAAATTTATCAAAAACACAAACTTGTGTGAAAATCTACACAATACTTGTGTTGAAATTTCTGAAACTTGTGTTGAAATTTCTGAAACTTGTGTTAAAATTTCTGAAACTTGTGTTGAAATTTCTGAAACTTGTGTGGTTTCATACAAACTTGTGTATAGCCATCCACAAAAACTTGTGTTGTGTTTTTCCCCAATTTATATACAGTATAGCAACCTTTTTATGCAGGACCCATCTCTTTGCTCTGTTAGACCTGTAAAGTTTGATAAAAGAAGGAAACAAAATTTTTTTTTGTTTTTGTAAGATTATTATTTATTCATAAAATCATAGGAAAAAGTAAATTAAAATATCAAAACTAAATAGATATTTGAAATGTTAACAGAAAAACAGAGAATTCTAATACTAATTATATTGTGTTATATATAATGACCCCCCCCCCCCCCCCCCACACACACACACCCCACTTTACCCATCACAAAATATAACATAGCTGTTTAAATTGTTCTTAACCACACACACTTTACCTATCACAAAATATAAAATAGCTATATAAATTGTTCTTTACCCCAAAAAAAGAAATCAGGATATAAAGATATGTACACAGTATCCCTACCCCATACTCCAAAATATATAATTCAAATAATATCTAAATTTAATAACATCCAAACCAAGCACTAAGATTAATTATGCACTAAATTGAAACAATTTCAAAAACTGAAAAGTGCTACAAAATCACACTACAAGTGATTTGTGAGACATATAGAAATAACTAATATACACAGAAAACTAACAAAAGAAAAATGCACTATTTTGCAGGAGTAAAAAAATGATGTAAAACCTTTTCCTCATTAAAAAACCCCAAACAAAATGAATATTTTGTAAATAAAAGAAGCAAAGCATCAAGATTACAGGATTGAAATAAAAAAATATCATATGTACAAAAAACTTATATACAATCACAAGTCATAAGCCACAGTGGTTCAGTGAGTATAAGGTGTTGGCCGAGAAATTTCAACTGGATTTTCCGGCATAGTTCCCACTTGTCAGTAGTGTTGGATATGGCAAGGGAATTGGGTACAAGCCCGGAATCGAAAGAAAGAGAGAGAGAAATGGGGTTTAACGTCCACTTGACACAAACTAGGTCATTTCGGGATTAACATATGGTTTAATTTTATTTCAATAATTCGTTGCGCATAGGGGTCTTTAGCAGTGGGAGGAAACCGGAGGTCCCGGAGAAAACCCACAAGATTGGACAGGCAACCCTACTCCTTGTCACGTACAACCGGGGATTCGAAACCACGCCAGTTGACTCAATGACAGGCCGTATGATACCGCACGCACGTGCTTACCATTCG